CCTTATTAAGACTTGACGGCATTGAGTCTGGATACGTCGGGTATTATAATTCGAAAATCAAATTGTTTGTTTTATTTTTTTGCTGTTTATCGTCGTGCTGCAGATGAAATATAAAAAAAAAAATATTAAATTTGGTTATCGCCAGCAAGAAAGTTCTCCTATAATAACAAAATAATAAACAAATTACGAGGCCATGCTGGACGTCTAATTAATAATATTAACGACACCGTACGAAATATACGAATATAGAGAACCGAAAATGTTATTATACAATTTGAAATAATGTGTATAATATTGCATTATATTGTAATATTTAATATTTTATCGTATTTTATAGTGTAATACGTATACATTTGTTTAGATTCGGAACGTATAGTGAGGAATGTATTGGTTTTACGATAATGTTTATTATTATTTTTTTTTTATACGTGAACAACTTTTCTACCAGACATGTTGCTTTGATTTTCATGTATAGTATTTTTTCTGAAAGGAAATTCTATTCGGGTAGTACTTTTTAAAGATGTCATTTTTTGATTTTCCTAACGGTGTTCTTAATAATCGGAAAAAACGTAGGAAAAACGGGAAAATGTGCGTACGTAACATGTATAAAAGAAATTTCCCTTCGAATCTTTTTTCGTAAACAATAGTTTATCGTTGCATACAGACATAAAATAATTCCCCTCAATATCTTACCTGTCCGAGATCTCACCTACAACAGTGGCCCACCCATCTCGCAAAGTATGTCCTTCTTTTTAATCGCCGTGTTATCGGATTAAAAACAAAAAAATAAAGAAAGTATGATAACAATAATAATGATACGAAATTGTATTTATCGTTTGATACTATTTAAAGTAGACCGGTCAAGCCGTGGCCTTAAATTATCTCTAAAACCGCGGATCAAGCCAGTGATGGATTTAATGGTTGTGGGGGTGGACGTCGTGGGTATCGCCTTCTCTAGAACTATTTATTTTAATGTTAATTGCATAATATAAGTATCTAAGACCACGAGTGGTGGGAGGAGGTGCCGGCGGTGTACGTTCGAACATAAAACATATGAACGTAGGGAGTTGGTATAATACGGAGTGACCAAGACCCCAGACAAGCAAGACGCTCATTATCTCGCAAAGTATTAACTAATTTCGAATTTTTTTTTATTAATTCGTTTAAGAAATAATAATAGTTCTTAAATGCTACATTGCGGTTATTTTTTTCGTCTTTATTTTAAAGGGTGAACCCACTACCTATAATTGATTTTGATTTTCGGATGGCAATCTAAACTAACAATCCCATAAATCGATAAATGGAGTATTAGTTTAAATACATTTTTGTGTTGAAATTCTCGGTTTCCGTCAACTAGTTGAAGTAAGATATTCCAATTTTAAAGTTTAGGTGGATGGATGTTGAGCTGGAGAGTAACGGAACACTAAAACACCTCGCGCAGTGGCCGCCACACACAAAGCACGACGAGCAGCATTACGAGTTGTGGCCCACAAATCTCCCGTCAGCCGAAACATAAAAGTGTTTCGAAATTTGCTCAGAATCGTTTTTTATAATAATTTGTCCCCTCTTTCCGACCGCAATAGCGACAGTTGATCAGCGAAGCTGAATTTTTGAACTATTAACTCCCGGCTACTTCTCCCTCACGCCGGTCACCCCAATTCGATCGATTTTAACCGAACAAAGTCTAAGTTATATTATAATACTAGAATCGAATACTAACCGGGTTCTAACCGAAAGTACCTGAAATTATATTGTAAATTCATTTTTTGAATTATATTTTCGGTTTATTTTTTTTTATTATTATTACAATTATAATCATTATATTATTATACAATTGCCTATATTAATATCGATAAAACAATATTTAAAGGTTTTGGAACGAATTATGTTTGAATATTTCGAATTCAAAGGAATATAATATTAATATTGAACGGCAGGCGAAAATAATACTCATTATTGGTGAGAATTTACCGTCATTTTAAAATATTAAAAATTAAATTTTAAAAATATTGTTATTCACATAATATTTGCGTACAAAGAAAAACACAAATTTCGTATTTTAAATTCGGGGCGTTTTTGTTTCGCGCGATTCTGACGGTTCGAGTCGAACACACGTGGCCGTGTTCGAGAGAACGTAATGGGAGTACTGAGAGACTTTAATTTCGCAATACGAACGATGTAATTTTTATTTTCGAACTCTTATTGTTTGCTCTCCATCAAACCGATACATTCCTCTCCGAATCTGAAAACTAGAAATAGAAATTTATATATATAAAAAAAAAAAAAAAAAAACAAAAAAACAAAATATTAAAGTTAGCGTTAAATATTAAAGAGGGGCCTCCCCTGAAATAAACGTACCGTCGCTATTCGCTACCGTCGATTTTGGATCGCGGCCTTACTGGCCAATCAGGCACTAAAAGATTTTCCGGGGCACCGGACGTATCGGGTCGCGGAACTTTTAGTCTCTCGTTTCGCTTTCGGGCACGCGTCGCCACCAGTGGCGCGCCGGGGACCGTAAAACCGTCTTCTCTACTTAACCCGACTCGGCTGTATGCGCGGGAATTGAAAATGCACAAAAGCCGGATCCGGGAAAAAATAGTCGATTTCTAATCGCACTCCTCGGCACTCGGCTGCAATACGCGTTTCGATATTGGATTGCTGATTTTTTTTTTTTTTGATTTCTTTTTCCTTATATTTGTAAGCCAACGGGGGCAGGGGCCATAACCCCCGACGTCCACCGCCCCGAAATTCCGCGCACGCCGTTAACAAAACGACGCGGTCCGCGACGCGTTAATGATCCGCCGGCCGGGCGTTTCGCGGGTTTTTTTTATTATTTTTTTGTTTTTTTCCCGTCGGGGAGGGTTTTCGTCGTCGTCGTCTCCGCCGCCGCCGCCGCCGCCGCGCCGTTGTCCGGTCCGTCCATTTTTGCATACACGTCGCCGCCGCGGCCGCCGCCGTCGTACACACACTATACGTTTATTATACGGCGATCGATACGCAGATTTAAAAAGAAAAAAAAAAAACTTTCTCCACCTCCATCGCGGCCGTCCGGCGGACTTTGCGCGCGCCCGTTATATTATTACGTTACGCGACGGACGCACACACGCGCGCACGCGGGGTGGAGTGGGGTGGCGGCGAGGCGGCCGGCCGAGGCGGCTGGCCATTGATTGAACCGAATTAATACGCGGAATATATTATTATTATTATTATTATTATTATACGCGTTGTCGTCGTCGCCGTGGCCGCGGTACCGCGGACGTCGTCGGGCGGCAAAGGCGGTGGCGACGGCGGTCAGCGCACCGTGTGTATATATTATTAATACATACGTGTATATATACGTATATTATATTATGTATATACGTATATTATATACTTGGCGGTGGCGATGACGACGGTCCGGGGCGGCGGCGGTGGACCGAAGCGGATGAATATTATTCCGGGAAGCTATTCGCATTTTCGGACGCTATACACGCTTGTGTGTGTGTCGTTCTCAGATATTCACACAAACACACACACACACACACACACACACACATTTCAACCCCTCGGTCCTAATATATATTTACGCGCGTTGCGCCCAGTGTGTGTGTGTGTACGCGCGTGAGACGACGAGCGGGAAAGCGGGAAAGCGTATACGCGGGAATTCGCCTCGGCCGCCGGGTAGTACGTCCGGCCGCCGTCAGAGGGTTGTGTGCCGTCCCGCGTCCGCGTATACACGCGTTATACGCGGAGTAGTGGTCATCGGGCGGGGGGAGAACCCCCGCCCACGGGGTACCGCGCGCGCACACACGCGCGCCGCGCGCGCGAGAGCACACGATAAAACCCCTTCGCCTCTCCCTGGGCCGCGCTTGCCGGTCGTCGCGCCGGTCGGCCTCTCACGCTCGCGCGCCCGCGGACCTTCGGCGACGGCGGCGTTGGAAAATTTCAGTCTTCTCGGTCACTACTCTGTCGGCACTCGTTTCATGTTTCCCCCCGGGGCGACGCAGCACCCTGTCGATCGGCGGTGCGCGCACCACCACCACCGCCGCCACCACCGCCGACACCACTACCATTCTTCGCCACCATCGCCGTAGTCGTAGTCGTCGTCGTCGCCGCCGTCGTGGTCGTCGTCGTCGTCGTCGTCGTCGTCGTCGTCGTCGCCGTACACACGCACACACACACACACACACACGCGCGCGCGCTCCCCATCACCTTCGCCGCCACCGTAGCCACTACCCCCACCGCCACGGCCACTACCACCACCACCGCCGCCGCCGCCGCCGCCGCCGCTACTACCGCACATACTGCCGTACATCGCGTCGCACACACACTCGCCCGGCATACACGCGCGATATTTCGCCCCGTACGTACCTCCGTCTCGCCGCCGGCTGCCCCGTGTCGTCGTCGAGAACCCGTGAGCACATCGCATCGCGCGCTTCGGCCCGAACGGACATCCGTGATTTTTTTTTTTTTTTCTCGATATTTTTCGATTTTTTTTTTTTTTTTTTTTTTACCGCCAAATTATCGCTCCGAAACGCCGCCGACAGGTTCTCGATACGGCGGTTGGCGTTCGGTCAGTGTCGAACCGGACCGCGGGTCTACAACACCGCCGCTATAACTGTCGCCACGCGCCCAACGATACCAACGACAATTATTAACATTGTTATTGCAACAACAACAACAACAACGTTGTAATAATAATTCGTTACGCCTGGTTTTCGCCAACACGGTTTTATTTTTACGTTCGGTTTTCGTATTTAATTTGTTCGGGTTTTTTTTTTTTTTTTTTTTTCTCTCTATTCGAAAATTCGAAATTTTCCCGCTTGCCATGCTTTTACCGGTCAAACGTTTTCCGTGCCGACCCCGGCCGCCCGGCGTCACGCCGTCGGCTCCCGCGTCACGACGATGACCGTTGACGCGCGGCACCACCGCCATACTCGCGACGACGACGCCGTCACTACTACGCAACGCCGCCGCCGCCACGACCACTAGCAGCATTACTACTGCCGCCCCGAGTACTACGGCAACGACGGCGACAACGGTAAACGCTCAGCTGACTCTCATGTGCTCGCACGCCGGAACAGCCAACAACGTAAGTATTTTCAAACTATCGTCGTTACATAACCCCCCCTCCCCCCTCCTACTCCACCCGCCCCCGAGGGCCCCTCGTCGTTTTCGTTTCGCGACCGGTCACCGGTCATTATCGTAATGTTTTTACACAGTCATTATTGTCATTACCACCTGTCCGCCGCGTCTGACCGCGGTCGCGTACGCGCGACGCGTTTCGTTTTTTCCGCGTCCGAGAGTTTCCAAATAAACCGCCGTCGACGGTTTTCCCCCCGGGGTTTTTCGTCGGTTTTCTTTCTTCTTTCCCCCCCTCCCGTCCTCTTCCCGCGTCGCTCACACCGCCGGCCGCCGACTGTTGCGTACAGAGATTAACATCGTTATTTTTAGACGCGGGCGCGGAACGCACGGAATTTATAAAAATACATCCGCGCGTTGAATTCCCGCGAACTCGACCGATAACGTCGCGTTCCTAAACCCCGGGCCAACGCGAACAATAATATGCCCGATTGATACGACGCGGAACCGCGTGCCGGTTCCGAAATACGATATACCGGGTGAGTGATAACGGCGGTATTTGAATACCGACCGGCGTCATTTATTCCGCGTCCGCCGGATGAGGAGAACGGGTACGGTCACCCGGACGTCCAGGCCGGGACACCGTTCGGTATTTTATTTTTTTTTTTCGCGCGTTTTTCGTCCACGCCGCCGGGCCGAGAGTTTTCTCGTCACCCCGGGCGATTTTCGCGGGCGGCCGCCCGGTACCGATTGTCGCTGCCCGTGCCGCCGCATTAACGCAATAACGTGTTCGTGTCGTGTTTAGCGCTCGGCTTTTTTTTTTTTTTTTTTCTCCGCGTTAATCGGTTAGAAATGCGTATGAATCATAGCGCAGGTATAGAAACGCCGAGTGAAAGAGACCGAGCGGGAGGGGGAAAAAAAAAAGAGAAAAAACCGTGAGTCATTATTGTTACCTTGCGCGGCACACTTATTACTGTACGCAGGTTGTACGTACGCCGTCGTCGTGCAGAGCGATTTGCGATTTTTAATAAAAATACCTAATATAATTATCCAGTGTTCGCGTATGCTCGCATACACGCGCGCGCACCCCTGCGATAAACCGCCGTAGAAAAAAAAAAACAAAAAACAAAAAACCGTAATTAATTAAAAATCGTTATTTTCGTTTCGTAGAAAAAAAAAAAAGTGAAACACGTAGGTAAGTATGCGTACTTATTATTCTTATTATAATAAAACACGTAATAACACGCCGGGCAATCGATAACCGTAAAAACAAAAAAACGCGGGGACCGGAAAACGCGCGCGCGCCGCCGACGGCCACTCGTTTTTTTTTTCCCCGCGGCGGAGAGACGATGCGATTTTGTCGGCCGCGACCTTGACGGCCCGGCGACACCGCGCAATAACGTCCGCGATTGCCCGCGGCCCGCGGTTTTCGCCCGAAAATCATCCCGTCAATCGGTGGACGCGACGTTCGTTAGATTGCCCGGTTGTTGCCGACACCGCCGCGGCCGCACGCGAAATTAACCGCGCCGTTAAACGCATTGTTATCATTATCGTCATTATTGTTATTGTTACACGGCGGGACCGGTGCGCGTCGCGTAAATTACGCGGATCGTGTACACGAGCGCGCGTGTGCGTGTTGTACACTTGTCGCGGCGGGCGGCCGTGCGGGGAAGGGCGCCGCGCCGCCGTCACCCCCCCCGTCCGCGGTCAACGGAGGGACGCGGGGCGGCCGCCGCCGTCGAACGCGTTGCCGGCCGGCGGCACGGCCGGATATCCCGCGCGCGACGTTTTATTAATTATCGCGCCACATTATTGTCGTCGTCGTCGTCGCCGCTGCCTACGCGTTTGTCTTTCTCACTCACGTTTCACCCAATATGCGTTTTGTTTTTGTCGTTTTCAGCGCGAATCGTAATCATGGAAATGCAGATTAGCAACGCGGCGTCCGAGTTCCCGTTGTACCACTCGATGGCCGCGGGACCGCACTCGTTCCAGCTACCCGGCGCCATACCGCCCGTCAGCACCATACCGTCGTACAAGAACACCATGTTCCCCGACCGGCTGAGCAGTTTCTATTACGACTCGGCGGGCCTCACGCACCCCATGCCCCCGTCCGAACGGTGCGACCGGTGTCTGATCGAACTGTCCGTCGCGATCGGCGGCGCCGGCCACCACTTTGGCAAAAAACTGTGCGGCATGTGCGCGGCCAAGGAACAGCAGCAGGTGTCGCCCAAGACCGAAATCCTGGACCTGGACTCGCAGCAAGTCATGTCGCAGCAACAGCAGCAGCAGCAACAGCAGCAGCAGCAGCAGCAACAGCAACAGCAAGACACGACCAAGGCGTTCTCGCAGCACGTCGTGGTGCCGCAAGGCTACGACAGGTCCTCGTTACCGCCTCCGCCGCCGGCGGTAGAATGGCCCGGCTACTTTCAGCCCCAGCAGAACACGCTGTCTGGCGAACACCTGTCGCCCGACTACAACAACGTGACCACCACAACCACCACACCCCCGACGATGATGGGCGGCTCGCCGCCGTCAGACATGCAACAGCAACAGCAACAGCAACAACAGTACCAGGCCAACTTTGACGGCGGCGGCGGCGGTTACGCCGTCGATTCGAACCAACAGCCCGGCGGCGGCGGCGGCGGATCGGGCACCAAAGGCAACGGGTCGTGGAAATCCAACGAGGCGCGCCGCGCCAAGACGTACGAGTGTCCGGCCTGCGACAAGTGGTTCACCAGTTCGGGTCACCTGAAACGGCATTACGGCACGCAGTTGCACAAGAACGCGGTCAAGCAGAGCGGTAAACCGGATCCCGCGATTTTACCGATGAAACATCATTACCATCCGTACCGAGACCCGGCGTACGTGGCGCAACAGAAGCTCAAACAGCAGCAGCAGAACGGCGGCGGCGGCGGTCACAAACAGCAGCAGCAGCAGCAGCAACAGCAGCAGTCGTCCATGATGCAAATGCCGGCCGACTTCCGCCCGGTCACGTCCACGTCATCGTTCAACACCGATTCTTTTTTAGAGCTGACTCCCCCAAACCTGACAGCAAGCCTCTCGGACAGTTTGGGGGGAACCCAATACCTGCCGGCCCGTCGGCCGGTCAGCAACAGCAGCAGCAGCAGCAACAGCAGTACGGCCGGTTTCACGGACGCGATTCCAATTTCTTCGTACCACAGCAACAGCAACAACACGGCGTTGTACCCGGCGGACCGTATGGTGCACCGCCTCCCGGCCACGTTGTACCGCGGCCACCAACAGTCGACGGTGGCGGCGGTTCAACAAGCGCGTTCGGCATACCAGCACCGCCCGAACACGGATACCATCCATCCATACACCACCCAAGTTTCTATGACCCAACCAATTACCAACACGGATTCGTACATCACTATGCACGACAATAACGGCGGCGGTATAACCAGACATCTTTACGATCATCATCAGCATAACCACCACCAACACCACCACCACCACCATCATCAGCCGCCGGGAGTTTACCATCACGCGAAACAGGAAGATCGCCGTCATCTGCCGCCGGGGGTTTACCATCACGCGAAACAGGGAGATCACCAGCAGCAGCAACAGCAACAGCCGCCGGGGGTTTACCTTCACGCGAAACAGGAAGATCATCAGCAGCAGCAGCAACAGCCGCCGCCGGTGGCGTACCACTGCGCGAAACAGGAAGATCACCAGCAGCAGCAACGGCCGCCGGTGGCGTACCACCGCGCGAAGCAGGAAGATCACCAGCAGCAGCAGCAGCAGCAGCAACAGCCGCCGGTGGCGTACCGTCGCCCGAAGGAGGAATATCAGCCGTCGGCGTCGCCGTATTCGCTGCAACAGCAGCAGTACCACATGCTGCAGCCGTCGTTGTTGAACATCAAATCGGAACCCGTCGATTACGAGGACGCGTCGATGACCAGTCCGGACTCGAGCATTATCGAGCATCCGCAACAACAGTATAAGGGCCTGTTGGTGGTGACGCCCATATCGTCCACTCCGCCGCCGCCGCCGCCGCCGCCGCCGGCACATCCGCTGCAACCGGACGACGACGCGGCCGTCAGCGAGAGCAGCGGCGGCGGTTCCGTGGATCTGGACAACATGTCTTTGCCGCCGTCGCCGCCGTCGGCCACCAACAAAAAGTTGCGGAAGACCACGCGCGTGTCGTGCGAACTGTGCAACAAGGACTTCACGGACAAGTGTTACAAGACGCAGCACGACCAGCGGTTCCACAGCGGCGAGAAACCGTACCGGTGCGGCCTGTGCGGCAAGCGGTTCGGCGAGCACAGGCAGCTGGAGGTGCACGAGCTCCGGCACAACGACAGCAACAAGGCGTTCCCGTGTACCGTGTGCACGAAAAGTTTCAACTTCAAAAACGACCTCGACCGTCACTTCATGTCCAGCCACTCGACCGAGAAACCGTACCAGTGCGTGCAGTGCAAAAAGAAATTCGTGCGGCTCGATCACAAGCGGCACCACGAGAAGACGCACGGCGGCGCCGTGGACAAAACGAAAAAAAAGAGGAAGACGCTGCCGGACGACATGTCCGACGTCATCTACGGTCAGCCTCACCGGCCGGACGAAGACCAATCCTAAACAATAAAAACATACCTAGGTAATATAATATATTCTGTAAGTAATAATAATTTTTAAAAAAAAAAAAAAATAATAATAAATATCGCGTTTTTTAAGCAAAGTAAACTCGCTCCGATTTCGACGCGGTCGGTGTGCGGGATTTCGTTTTCGAGTTTTTCTTTCCGCCGGTCGTTTCACCGAGACCGCGGGGCGGTTTTTTTTTTCTTTTGTAATTTGTGTGCGTACATGAAATTTAGGATAATAATAATAATAATAGTTTTGTTTTCGCATTGAACACACAAAAAAAAAAAAAAAAAAACCGGTCGACCGATTTCGACGATATCGCGAGGAGTAATCATCACTTGTTACAAAACGTAAATTGGTTTTCTCTTTTTTTTTTTTATTATTATTATTTCATTTTTTATCTTAAGGTTTGTCGGCATTATACAATTTTTTATGTTGTACATAACAATTATTTTAATATTATTATAAAAAATAATCATCCTAATTCCGGGGGCATTACAATTTATCAATTAATATCGTTTTAAGAGTATTTTTGAATTTTTTTATTATTATTATTATTATTATTATTTTTATTGTTTTTAAGTACGTAATGTTGAAGTAATATTTCTCTGCCATCCCGTCCCTTTACCGTATACTCGTGCAACAAAACCACCCCGTTTCCTATACGTATTATACATTTTGATTTAACGTGTTGCGTCGTTTTGTTGATGGCTCAATATTTTTTTTTTTTTTTTGTAATTATTTTGTTAATGTATAATTTTTAAAATGTATTTTGTTTTTCTGTCGGGTACCAATATTGCATTAGTTAAACAACGACGAAAAAAAAAAAATATAAAAAAAAAAAAAAACATATCCCCACGTTACATATCACACACGACGACGCTCTATAGAATCATTACTTATTAATTATTATTATTATTATTATTATTATTATTATTATGATTATTGTTCGTAATTATGACATTCGTTTCGTTTTCGTACCTGCTACTCTATGATGATAATACAATATATTATTATTATAAACGACGACGATTTAACTGTATATCTAATATATTATACGCGTAGTATTATGTGAAGAAAACAAAAAAAAAAAAAGTTACAAAACTGACTATCAAAATAATATTATTTCGCGTTAATATGATATTGTATAATATAATAAAATAGATTTGATTTTTTTTTTTTTTTTTTGGCCCGTTTTGTTTTTTTAATATGAAAATATAATAAAACTGTATAAATGAGACGATCGACTACCGCGCGCCCCGCCGTTAATAATATATATAGTACTGTTCTTATTGATTATTATTATTATTATTTTTATTTGTGGATAATTTTTTTTTTTTTATCGCCCACTGTCCGCGGTGCGAATTTTTAAGTTTTTTTTCTCCGCTACACGCTCCCCCGTACGGTTAAAGTTAATAATATGTTATTTTCGTCCCCGTCCCCCGCCCTCGGCTTCGGCCCCCCCCGACTTTTGTTGTATTCGTTGGAAACGATTAATTGAATATATGACGCACCTATATATATGTTATCGCGTTCACCCACCCACCCACCCCTCCCCAGTCCCCCAACTGTTTATTATCATTATTATTTCTGTTTCGATTTATTATTATTATTATTATTATTATTATTATTATTATTATCATCATTATTATTAAAAAAAAAAAAAAAAAAAAAAAACAAATATCGATAGTACAAAAACGTACCTCGTAGACATTGTGGAAGACTATATTATATAAATATACTATTACACACTACTAAATAAATACGCTATATACTACTACTACTACTACTATACTATACTAAATACATATTGACTACTTGGTATCGAAACAATAATTATACAAAAAAAAAAAAATTAAATAATAACAAATTTATATTGTAATAATTATATATTATATTATTATTATTATTATAATTGAATATAATTATTATGTATTATGTAACGATAATATTATGTATTTGATAATTTTTAGCAAAATTATAATTATGTTTAAATCAAAAAAAAAAAAAAAAAGAGCAATAAGTTTTTGTGTAAATAATTATATTATATAATGAACAATAAATGAAGGAAAAAACCAATAAAGATTGATTAGAAAAAAAAAAAAAAAAAAAAACACGTTTTTTTTATTGATGGCGTTCGCAGCTGATACCTACCTACCTACATAATAATAACGGACAATCGTTATTATTATCCGTTGTTATCAATTATTATTTGTTTATAAGATAATATTCGTCTACCTATATTATGATGTAATATTATGTGTGTCAAATTATTAGTTTTGAACGGGTCCGATTTTACCCCCGCGATAAGATAAGATAAGTGTGCCCGTCTCCCGCGTGTACTTAAATACTTGTTTACACACGCGCACACACACACCCGCGACCCGTAATCGGCTCGCGTATTTTCGACCCCCTCCTTCTCCCCTCGTTTCCCCCCCCCTTTGGAGCGGGAAATGTCGGCGAGACGCAGACGACCCTTTTAACAATATACGTTATCCATACCCTATCCGTATTTATATACTTCCTATATATGCGTACGCCACGACGACGGGGGGAAACGATTCTTTTAACCCGCCGTCGTCGACCGCGTGTATTTTATTAGGCGCCTATTATACGTACCTACAGAGAGGGCGAAATCATCGGCCGCCGATTGTCGGCAATAAACGGAAAATTACCGGTCGGAATCGGATAGTTAAAAATACATCCTCCCCGTGGTCGTCCGATGTTCAGAGAAGAAAACAAAAAAAAAAACAAATACCAGACAATGCGATAATATATATTAGGTTTAGGTATTGTTTTTTTTTTTTTTTATATAATAAGTACGCTGTATAACACTGTTGAAATAAAATAAATACTATTTTTCATGTGTGCGGGGAAACTTTAAACATTTTTAACTGTACTTTTTATTAACAAATTCAAAATAGCTTTTTGGTGAATATGTTTATTTGGTTATAATCATTAATTATTCTCTTAAAACTATAATAATTTAACAAATTATTAATTATATAATTATTATCTTTTATATAATAGGGATTTTTAAATAGAGCATATCAAATAGAAAGGTTTTTTTTTACAAGTTATATTACCGTATAATAATTATAGACGAATTTGATCCATAATTGACAAAAATGATTCACGTTACAAAAACATCATATGGGTTAAGTTAGGTCATAGGCTATGATCATCTACCTAAATATTAGTTTTAGCCGCTAAAAACTGTCTAAAAATCTATTTTGCAAAATAGCGATTTTGAATTTTTTTTTTTTTTTTTTTACTTCAGTAAAATTGTATTTAACTATAGAGAAGAGGCATAATAATTAGTAAATAACTGAAAACTAATTACAACCATTGAATACGACAAAAAGTATTTCAGGTGTCCGGAATTCTTCTATACGTCACGATGAAAAGAAAATCGTATAGTCTCAAAAAATATTAAATTATTACGGCGTTTGTATATTATGTTGGTGAAACGTGAAAACTTACCGTAATAACTAACAGTATTTCGGTGTAGTCCAGAAGCCTCGGAAGTCTGGCGAATAAAACACCATGTTCCTGCCGATTTTCACGTATTTAAAAGTTATAAATATTATAAAAATATACAATATATACGCCATGAAAATACGTAGGTAACTAACAATTAATATTTATTAATTATACGGACATCACATAACGGCAATTTTAACATTTTGAGCGAAGCAATCAAGGAAATTTAGTAAATATTTGTCCGTGCGGTCTGTCAAAATAGTCAAACCACTCCATCCTCTGCTAACCACCGTCCCACATGCTTGTGTTTATAGTGGCGAAAATCACGGTTTCGACCATAATTCAGGTGTATTTGCACGAAATTTAACGGCGCTATCAAATCGTTGGTCCGGTAAAGAAAGGCTTAAATTCTGGGAGGGGGATCAATAGCTTCAAACAAATTTATTTGCTTAAATTTGAAAATATAAAATTCTATTTCATTATCGCAGTAGTCATGGGAACAAATAGAAACAATTATAAAATATTAATGTCTCAAACTATATTCGTCATAACTGGGGGGGGGGTATTTGAAAAACTGGAGAGACTTAGCTTTCCCAAGGCCCCTAGTTGCGCCTATGCTAGACCAATGTTTAGCCTTTTTGTCGAATTATCTCCGGTACATTTGGACACATCAAGCGTCTTATTTCAAAGCAAATTAGCTCAAACTCGGAAATTTGAGTTTTTTTTATAAGCTGATGGAAATGATAACATTCTGGTGTTGAATTTTAATATGAAGTTTACCACGAGGAGGGTGTTTTATTTTTTTAGCTTTGTACACACATCCCCCCAGTCACAAATAAAGCCGAAAAAAAAGCTATTCCTTTCTATACTTGCTAGGTGCTGTAAGTATCAAGGATGTACGTTTTGGGGATTTCAACTTTCAATTCCATTTCCAGCCGTTTTTGTGCTAAATTTCACGTTTTCACGTAAAATACTTGGTAATAAATAACCGCATAGACTCGTTAGAGTATAAGCGACAGTGTTAAAATGTCTGTAGTATGAATATCGTGGAATACTGCTGTGGTCGAGAATGTTCCTTTAAGTTTAAAAGGTTTCAACTTCCAACCCTCGTTCTCACCGTGTGCTTGTATGTTGGCGATAATCTCGATAACTACTTGACCTATATTCATGAAACTTTGAGCGACCCAGGTAGCCAGTAACTATTTTAGATCAATTATAATTACAAAAAAAGTGAATTATTGTAACGACGATATGTCGACTGAGGGGAAAATGTTTTTTTTTTTTAATTTTCTATTTATGTTTTAAGTACGTAATTTTATTCCCTTTATTTTTCGATTTGAATATCACACGTGTACGTATATTTTAACACGTGTTTCATCGAAAATTTAAATACAATAAATCGTTTGTTTAGCATATTTATTAGGTATGTGCAATTATGATAATATAATATAATAGCAGTTTTCAACACGTTTAATTCGTCGCCTCGTATTGAAAACTATTCTTACGAAAATTGACCAAGCCATTTTTCGTCAAGGCCAAAGACTGTATTTTTATCGTTATTTTATAAAAACTAATTTTTTTAATTATTTACACAAATCGGGCCAATCAACATGTTGACCGTAATAGCATTTTCGAGTCGACGATTTTCCTACTTATATTTAATATACACGGCTATTATACTTTTTTTCCTCTCTCTCTCTCTCTCTGGTAACCGTTTTCGCGACGGGCGACCCTAATGATTACGTCTATAAATATTTTACAAGATGTGTTTAAGTTCGTTACCGCGGTAAAAGGTTACCTGTAATAATTTTATTATGAACGGGCTTTCGTATGGTGAGCTTGCCGCCCCTAAACGACGCGTATTATCATCGGGGACGAACAACATCGTAAAACAG